CCCCAAAACCCCAAAACCCCAAAACCCCAAAACCCCAAAACCCCAAAACCCCACTCTAGCCTACTCTGATTGAGTGTAAGAAAATTAATTTTATTGATTTATATATACATTCACTCAGAGATGGAGTAGAAGCGATTTAGGTGCAAAGTGATCTTAGAAGAAGCATTTGAGTGGTTTTAGAATGGTCCGATTCCCTGGGATCACCTTTAATCGAAGGGGGCTTATGAGGAAGAAGTCTTTCTATCATAGCACTTCTTGATCTCGTCCTTAACTTCGATTATTGTCTTCAGATCTAGGGTCTCATCTATGAATTTGAACCACTCTTCTTCATTTGATGGGCACTTGTCTTTATAGGTTTTCTGGAATTTAGGAGATTTCTTCAAGTACACATCAGCCATGTAGATCACAGCAGCTGCAATCTCTTGTGGAGGGTAGAACAAGGGCGCGGTAGTAGTGAATGCATCATTCATAAACATGTACGCGTGCTTGGATAACACCTCATTTGGCTTTCCTCTTTTACTAAGAGAGACATGGAAGAACTTTGCAATATATTTGTTAGGTAACTCGACTTCAACGTCGAAATTGAGCTCCGAAAGAATTTCGAACTCTTGCTCTTGGATTTTAGAGACATATTCTTGCTTCATCTTTTCGGAGATAATAGGCCTTGACTGGGGATCAATTCTTTTGAGTTCAGCCCAAATGTACCACTCAGCAAGGTATTCCATTGGAATGGGCTCGTTCTTTACTTTAGCAGAAAGTAGTAGTCATGAAGCCGAGACTAGGTACTTGTTTATGCTAGTGTAAGGATAAATTCTTGTGTATTTAAGAAGGTAGAACATAGCTGTGTTAATAATAGCCTGTCCATAACGGAGCTTCTTAGCCAACAACTTGAGAAAATTGTAGCTCTCTTTGATGAATACTTGCTCCTTTACCTTTTCCTTGGCCAAAGTCTCCTCGGAGACTAGACACGTGGTGGATTTTTCAGGTTTATTAGGAAGACTCACTTCGTCAGCCTGGGCTCCATTTACAGTAGGTGGAGATGAGTAAGAAGTTGAAGCAAATGTTTTACTTTCATAATCTATTGAGATTAACAAGTTAGAGGACGCTTTTAATATGATATAATTTTAGTCCGTCCATGGAGCAGCGGAACGACCAATATTTTTAAGGAACACGAAATTCTCCATGGACACGACCAAAAGGGGCAAAATACGTTTTATTACCATCTTTTGCTGCTAAAGTGGAACCTCATGGCTTCATTCTCAAGCTCTCAACGAGAGAAGGAGGACAAATCCATTCTTCTTTTAGCATCAAATTCATATTTATTATTAAATTTGGAAAATATTTAATACTTGAAGGGGTGGTATAAGTAGGTGAATTAACCAATTATATGGACACATCTCAACCCATGGCTTCTAATTAGGGGTTTTGGGGTTTTGGGGTTTTGGGGTTTTGGGG